ATTGAGAGGGAGGAAGTAGAAAAAATACATTCGAAGCTAAAGCCAAAGGAAGTCATCCAGATTTGGGGGTACTATTTAAAGAACAAGATACTCCTGTAACATTCAAGCCCTTGTTTTAGTGGCTGGAGCATTACTTAAGAACTGTATGTGAGAGAGTCTCTTTAACTTAGAACAGTTCCTTTGGCTTTGATTTTGTAATTAAAAACCTGACAAGATATCTTGCTAAAATAAATATTTAATTCTTATTTTTAAGTTCCTTTAATATTGTCATCAGGTTGCTGTGAAGCTCATAAAGTTGGGATACAGTATTTGGGATACAGCTGAAAGGGAGCCCCGTAGTAGTAACTCCTAGGGATTCTGGATTTCAGGACTTGGATACTGTTGAGTGCCTCCTGCCAAGGTACCTGTGCTGTTGGGGAACGGGTGTTGCTAGCTGCTGGCTTTGAGAAAGAATTCCTTTGCTAGTCACAGGCTGGAGCCTTTTTCACTTGGAGGATGGAGGAAAGATGCCTTGCAGCTCTCAACAAACCCTTATGCGCCAGCTTATCACAGTGTTTGCAAATATGTATCTTTAGTGTGAAATATTTATGCTATTCTTAGATATGTGGACAGCAATGCCTGACCTTTCAGAAGGCATTCTTATTTTCCTTTCTGAGGTTGTCCAACGAGATTAGAAATAATTAACTAGAAAGCAAACCTGTCTCTATTGCAAACCAAATGGGAAAGGTTTGCACAGAACTCAGTCTCTTTACCTGCATCAGGATATTGTTAGACAGTAAGCAGCCCAGAGCAAATACCCATTTGACCTGTTCTGGTGACAGCTGAGATTCCGGACAAGAAGGGAGAAGCCTCAAGCAAACAAACAATCAAACCACAAACGTATGGTGACTCAACCATGGTACAAAAAATTAATAAGATCAAAGTACACTGAAAATGAGCCTAACAAAGTTTAGCTATCAAGTAGGAGTACAAAGAGGTTAGGAAAAATACAAACAGAATTTAAGCAAACTCTTCTGACTTTGAAGGTGTAGCTCAGGTCTTTACCAGGGATAATTTCAAATAGTTTTGCTGTCTGATCTGGGCAGTTCTGGTGTTGTTAGCAATATTTCAATTTGGGGGCTGAAATTTAAAAACAGCTGGATAGTTTTTTATGTGTAATCTATGGCCAATTGTTAGTTTCACAATTATAAGAACATAAAGAAAGATTAAAATGTGCATGTTTTACTGTCTGCAAGGAGGAAGAGCATTCTTTCAACCTGCCAATGTCTCCAGTTAATTTAGGAATAGGATATAAATTCAGAATATTTATGAAAAGCAGTTATGGAGCAGAAAGCAGGAGATGACGATTCCTTTGATCACAAAGACACTAATTCTTCTACAGCAAATGACTGAGGCAAATAAAATTATTTAATCTGCTATGTGTCAAGGCCCCAGAGTGATCGTTGCTAAACGTTCCATTATTGACCTGCTGGTTTCTGATTACTTTTGAGAACAGGCATCTTATGTGCTTCATTTAGTGAGCTGCCGGTTTATCCATGAAGTAAATTATCTGGAAGGAATGTTTTTGTAATTGTTATTTTTATAATAAGATGACTTGAGAAGGAAAATAAGTTGTTTCAGATAAACACTGCAAGGAATCTCTAGAGTTTTTTTCCTGTGTTCTCTTTATCTGATTACCAGTGCTTGAAATGTGGATGGAACCCATCAGTCTTCAGTGCACAAACTTTCCTGCACCTCGAGTACACAAAGAGTCTGCATCAGTAATACAGCAGAATCTGTATTGCAGGATTGGAGCCTAATACAAAGTTACTACCAAAATTCCTCCCTTCTCACGCCCCAACTTAGAAGATAGGCTAACTGGTGACATTGGTAAAATACAGCTTTGGTTCCTTTAGAGACTCTAGCAAAAGGAAGGACCTCTGTAGTATTTAAAAGAAACAAATATTCTATTTTTCAAAAGCTCCAAACCTGTATTCTCATTTAATAGCTTGATCCTATTGAAACAGGGTAAGTCAAAGTGCCTGAGAGAATTCCTTTTTCCAATACTGGCTTGTTATAGAGCAATCCAAACCCCTCTCTGATCCATGGCACTGTCATTTTTCACCTGTGCGCGCTGCTTCTCCCTTCCCTTCTTCCTCACTGAACAGGTTACTGTTCCCATGTGTCAGAGAAGGAGATCCTAAGGGAAGGCAAAGCCAGAGATAAGGGCTGAGTTTCATAGTGGTTGGAGGCAACTTGTTAGTCAACAAGATTAAAATCTTTTAATCTTCAAGTTATTGTATGTAATACAAACAAATAGTGGTTTTCCTTCTGAGCTTGTTTAACTTGAGAGTTTATCTCCCTTGCTTATTTTCCAGCCCTTTTTTTGCATTGTTCTTACTCTTTCCGCTTGACCACACTTTTTCTGCTCTTTG